CTGCAGGTCATTCACTAGATCCCCCCTTGTGGTTCTGGGATTTTTCCTCACCGTTCTTGTGATCATTTTGACCCCACGACCCCACCATTATTTGCAAAAAAATTCTTTAAAAGTCAGACAAAATGATTTTCTCAAAAATTTTTTCACATTTTGTCTCTCATAGTCGAGGTCTACCTATGATGTCAATTACAGACCTCGCTCATCTTTTTAAGTGGGAGAACTTGCACAATTGGTGACTGACTAAATACTTATTTTCCCCACTGTATATTATACTTTGGTATTATGCTACATGTCTTACATGGTATTTTCCTTTTTTTCCCCTCAGTTTTGTTGGATCTTGCCATTGACCAGCCACTGCAGTCCAGGTTCTTGTGTCATAAATGACAAGGTATGTAATGCAAAGCAGTCGTTTCATTAAATTTTCTTTTCCCCTGTAATTCTGCTCTGTAGTTTATGCTTCAGTTGAAAACTTAATTAGCTTTAAACCATATTTGTTTCATTCATGTTTGCTGAGAAGTCCAGATCTGGTGGGTTAGATGTGTACGGTTAAAATGTAAATATAACTCTCAGTTTGTGAGACCAGGGGCCTCATGTGTGGAGGAGTGCAGCTTTTATACTGAAAGTTGGCGTATGGACCAAATTAGAAACGTGTGTACTCAGAAAAACACTGATTTATGCATATTTCTCAACTCTTTTTCTTTATGCAGCTCTCTGAACGTGGAACTTAGTGCACATAAAAATTCTCCGTTGACATGCCTCTATTTAAGTACGCAAATAGATACAAATATTCCCTTTTATTGTGAGAGTCCCCTCTCTGCCTGATGAAAAATCATTGGCGGGCCTGACAGAAGACACCCGCCTGCGAACTGCCAGTTGAATAGCTCTGCTTTAAAAACAAATTGTCATGGATTCTGTAAGAGGTTGACTTTTTTATTATTATTAATATTAACAATAACAACAGAGCGTTTCAGCTGCAGTGTAGGGAACTTTAAAAAATATTGGCATCGTGGATAGAGCAGCTCCAAAGCTGCCATTGTTCGACAATTACACGCAACTTTACACATCTATTTATGGTCATGTGTTATTATCTACACCTTGTCAACCTTAGGAAACAGCACACGTGACTATTCTAAATTATTATGCTGCTCTGACCTCATTTTCCTCTCAGTGACAATGAAAGTGCTCCTTGTGCAATTCACATGCATTTAATGTTCCTTATCTGTAGACAGAAGCAAGGGTGCAGTCACTGATTTGTGTTCATCTCCACAGGTGACAAAAAGGGGAAACTGAACAGATTACAGTGGTCTTGGCTTTAGTCTTTTAAAGTCAAGTTATATGTTGTGTAAAGTTGAATGTGGTTCAAAATAGTGTTTGGGTTTCAAACCATAAATGCCCAAATTCATGAGAAAACTTTGTGTTTAAGTTTAGGAACAGACTGGAGTCTTAATGTGGTGCAAGTTGCAGTACTTTTTTAGTTTCATACTGTTGTCTAAAAGTGTTTGCGTTTATGTGAGTTTAATAAGCAGTTAAGTATTCAAGGTGTGTTGGATTAATCGTTGATTGTATGTAAAACATTTACACTCTGTCAGAACATGTTTAGATGGCAAATGAAAAATGTTCTTGTTTGACTTGTTCTCTCATAACTACCAGCTTATTTGTTTTCACAGTCTTCATTTGGTTTTAATTGCAAGTTTTATTAATTAGTGCATCTGTAAGTAAAACACTTAATTAAACTGAGATAAGGGGTAGGATTAAATAAAAGTTCACTTCTTCCTACTCCCTTTCAAACAGAAAAGTAGTGGTAATTGGGTTCTTGGTAGGGGTGTAAAAAATATCGATACACTGAAATATCGCGATATTTCATTTCCCGATACTGTATCGATATGCTAAAGCCCTGTATCGATTTTTTTTATTAAGGTTTAAAATGTCAACTTTCCTGCCAGCCGTTCATTTTTATGTTGTAGTTCAGCCTCTGAACACTAGTTGGCAGCAGTGAGCCAGCCATTTGGCTCCTCTACTTCTTGAGGTTGAGGCTTATTGTAAAGTGTTGGGTGACCATATTGTAAATTAATATTAAAAACTTGAAAATAATATATATTTTCAAACTATTTACTGTCAAATTTTGTCCAGCCGTTCATTTTTATGTTGTAGTTCAGCCTCTGACCACTAGTTGGCAGCAGTGAGCCAGCCATTTGGCTTACCTCAAGAGGTAGAGGCTATTGTAAAGTGTTGGGTGACCATTTTGTAAATTAATATTAAAAACTTGAAAATAATATATATTTTCAAACTATTTACTGTCAAATTTTGTCTAATAATTGAAAACATGGATGAAATAAGAAATATGAAACAAATAAAATAAAAT